GCCTCATTGATTTTCTGATCCTGGCAGCAGTCAGGCATAGATCCATCTCATCAAACATCAGTACTTGACCAAGGTATCTTTGTTAGGAGCACAGTCACTCTTAAAGTCAGTAGAGGAAGAAAGACATCTGAATGGTAGATTCAGATTGTAGGAGCAGAATTAAGGGAAGTTCTATACAATGAAAAAATCAAAACCAATGATAGAAGGAACCTATGGTGTCCACGCTCCTGACTTAGATACCTCAGTAAAGTCTGGGGGATGAATTCACTGGAGACTGAAGTTGAGAGGAAGGATACTATTTTTACTTTTTACTTTTTTTTTTTTTAAAAAAAGAATAAAACCAGTTGTAGAATTACGAAGGTGAAATTTGTTATATCTGTGTTCAAGGACACAACAAATATTTATCTGCTTTTCTTAAAAAAAAATGTTAAAGAAGTACCTACCTTCAATTTTTCTTCTGCACAGGAATAACCTATAGAATATCAAATACTGGGCAAATGCTCAAGGCAAAAGGATATCTATAGTTAACTTGTAAATGGTTTGTTTATTTAAAACATAATGATGACTTGTGTTATCAAGCCTGCTTTGGCAATGCTCTTGGGGAACATGTATTCTGGATTATAAACAAGGAGCATCTGTTTCCAGCATTTGGTTCCTTCCTCTCAAATACTCTATTAATTCGGGAGCAACTTCGCTGAAGTTAATGAGCTTTTCCACTTTAAATTCGGAGCGAGGTTCAGCTCTGCAGTCCCCAGGTGGCAGCCTTTGCACTGGAAAGACACAAAAAGCCCAGGTCGTGCCTCGAGGAGAGCCAGGTTTCTCTGTGTGTAGGGTACTGTGCTCACGGTCAGGGTTATGCTGGGAGTTAGTTTGGCCAAGTCTCATTGCTACAGTCAGAAGAAACACATCCAGCCTTTTTTCCCAAAAGTGCTTCTAAGAGCCTGTGCAGCTTAAATAAGCATTCCAGTAAGGTTCAGAATGAAAAGGTAAAGGTCATGAATTTATGTTAAAAGACATCTAGATTGAGTCTATCCTGGAAACAGACGTTAGAATAGTTTTCTTTTGCAAACTAGAAAGTGTGTTCTCTATCTGAAGAAGCAGCTAATGGGAGAATCACGAGCAAATCCTCTATATACTAATTATACTTATTATTGATCTGTAAAGTATGGAAAAACAGAATATTCCTGATATCAGGAATCAGCATTCATAAATATTAAGTGTATTTAATTTTACTGAAGGCTGTTTTTTTAATGTGACCAAGCAGTAGAAATAGAAATTATTTTCTTCCAAATATAAAGCCTATGGCAAGAAAGTTACAACTTTAGAAAATGGCCCTGCTCTATTTTTCCTCATTAAAAGAAAAAAACCCAACAACCCACATTCAAAAAACCCAAGGTAATTGTGGTTATTTCTTTTTTTCAAATTAGATAACTAAATTTCACCACAGTTCTACTGATTAAATACTACCATCAGTACAACTGGCCTAAACTTACATTGCTGTAAGACCACTGTTTTGAATTCTTTGTATCTTTATGAATCTTTAATCTTTTATGACAATGATAGTTCAGAAACTAGTTCACTCTGACTGAAATGTTTTCCTATGTGAAAAAGAAAAGAACATCAGAAATAGTCTTTCACAGATAATATCAAGGGTTTTATTAGTGGGAGACCGGGAGAAAAAAAAGTCATTAAAATTCTCTCTCCAATGATATCTTTGGAGTCATTTTATCAGGACTGAAAAAACTGCAGATTTGTAGATTAGTGATAGTGAGTGATAGTTTTCTGAGAAGTTTCAACATGTGTTTTGGTTCCGTATGTTCCATTCTCTTTAAAATAAGGATTTAAATGCCTATGTCTTGATGCCTAATGATTCTCTGTGCAGCAGGCTTGGTTTTCTCAGGTGATATTCTGAAACGGAGTACCATAGACAATACGGCCCAGCATTAACTTCCTGCACACTTACTTCAACTTTTTAAATAAAATAAGTGCACACATGCTGAACTAAAACTGCTGAAATAGCCTCACACTGTTATCTGCAATCTTCCCCCAGGAACAGATGAGGGAGAAAATGAACTACAACATCAGAGGGTCGGTGTTGTCTCTGTGTACGTTAATTGAAAGTGCTTTGCTCTGGCACTGATGGGGATGTTATAACCTGTATCACTGTAGCAGTGGCTAGAGAATCTGCCCTCTCAGCTAAAACATGAGGAAATTGTTATGTGACTTCTCTGAGAATTACTACAGGAGGCCATTAGGTCAAGTGAAGCATTATAACTAGGAGGAACATCTAATTGGAACACAAGGATATATTGCAGGATGCTGTCACGCTTAGCTTAGACAAATATATGGCAGGATACTATCACACTCAGCTATGTGGCAGCAATTAAAGCAAGGACAAGTTTTAAAAGTTAGATATTTGATCCAAAACCAAGACTTTATACAAACTAACCTTCATTTAAAATGTGAAAATCCTACCTTTTTAATATGCAAACAGTATGATAATGAAGTAATGCATGTGCTGTAATTATGCACCTTATTTTTGAATATTTTCTAGTCAATGAATCTGCAGGTCTCTGACTAACTCTCTTTAAGAAAGTATATCAACCTTGTTTTGTAATTGTTCGGAGCGCTGGCTGTGTTAGATGCCTAGCACCCTACTCTGTAGACTAGTAATAAATATCTTGACTCAGTGTGTTGACTGGCTTATTGCACACTGGGTAAAATGACCCAGATTTCGGACAACAAAACGGTACTAGCTAATGAACATATAAGAAGGGACCTCAGCAACTTAAAATTATTCCAGTGGTAGCAGTCTAAAGAGCAAATACTCTTAAAAACAAGGAACCATCCTGTGGGATCAGGTATGTTGGGGAAAAATGCAGAATATATTTTTAAGGTAGCAGAGAAGAAGAAAGCTACTGAGTAAACTGTGCCAGGAGAGCTTTGAAGTCCTTCTGCCACCTGAAGGGACCAATAACAAACCTAGGAACAGCAAAAGGCTTTTCAAATCTAAATGTAATGTGAGAAAACTCCTAGGGTTCACAAGTGGTGTACAAGTAGTGTCTGGAGGGCTGGCAATGCAAGTATAGGTGAGGCTGGAACAGGCTGAGCATGCCCAGGCATTAAATGAGACACAGACTGAATGAGGAGCAAAAGGGCTGGTGTGGATCCAAGAACAGCTGAGCTTTGAGGGGGACTTCAACAAATACTGTTCACTGCTATGTATAAATACATAGACTGGCTGTAAATTCCAGAGTGCTGCACTACTGTGAGCAGAGGACTATGGCAATGAGGAAGATTACTTTGAACTTCATAGCTGAGTAGTTGGAAGGTTTGCTAGAAGAATAAGATTATGTCTCATTTTCTAGTGAATGTGCAGAAAGCTGGAAAATAATTGCCAACCCTGGTAAGAGCTACTGTTGCTATTGTAGGACAGTGTTTGTTTTCATTTTAACACAGGAATGAATGCTAGTGTGGCCTGTGCAGGAGATAAGTGGAAGTTGAAGGGAGAATCTCTGTAACTTTATGAAGTTTCCAATCCTCACAGCTGTAGAGAAAAATAAAGTTCATGTAGAAAGCATGAAACTCAAAAGCTAAGTACCTGAAAACGATCAATAGAACCTGAAAACTGTTATATTAAAATTTCATATGTCATATATATAGGACAACATCCTGGTGTTAGAGGATCTGTATCAGGAAGTTTGGTTGCTTAGAGTTATCCATGGCATGTTTAGCTGCTATTGCCACAGCTGATGAATGCAAATCATTCTTTTGCTTTCTAGTTACTTTAGACACACCTCTCAGACATATTTATTTCTGGACAAATTCTGTACTTGTTACAGCGAGGTGGGCTATTTAGTGTTCTGGGAGGATTTACAGGAAAAAAACCTTGTTGTCTCTTCCTCCATAAAATTGAGCAAGAAAATTTACCAAGAAAACAAAACCCCAGAACAGGTAAAATGCATACCAGGTGTGTCTGGTTAATCACTGATCCACTATTGTTTGTTTGTGTAGACTGCTAACTCTTTGCTCTTCACACCTTGCTAACAAATTCTGCACATTGTCAAAAACCCCTCAAGCTGCGGCTCTCACCACCACGACTGCTGCAGGCTGTCATGGAAGTGAGTTTGGAGGATGTTTCTGATAAGCCTAGAGCACGATGCCATAGTTGTCTGCTTCCAGCTTTTGGCAATTGAAGGCAGGAGAAAGCACAGAAGAAATGAATAAAATGACTGCCAGTTGTTTGATTGCTATTGGTGAAAGCTGACTGGCTATAAACCAGCCCCAGTTTGCAAGTTGAGCCACCAAGTTAGTATGGTGCTAGTTCTGGTCTAATAGCTACTAAGCTTGTGCTTAGTGCCACAGCACTGTAACTCTCCAGCATTCATCCAGTTCTGCGTGTAGAGGAGCGGACATATCTCAGTGCCTGCCCAGCTACTACTGTTCTTAAATAATCTCTTACCAGCAATGCTGGTAACATTTTTCTGCCTTTGTCTGTTATACTGTCACACATTCTGCTTTGATGCTGGACACAGGTGGGTGGCTTGACCTTACCTGATCCTCTGTCCCTGCTGTGGACGGCTGCTCTCCTAGCAGGCTGCTTCACAACTTCCTTGTACACCTGGATTAGCAATGTCTTGGGTAGGATGTGGAGGAAGAAGATATCCTCTGCAGTGGGGGGCCGGGGAGTATTTTATTTGAGGTACTGTTCATTTACTGGTAAGATCATTTTGTGGATGAAGGTGGTAAGTGAACTGCAAGCGTGGACAAATGGGAATTTCAGAAAGTGTGTAATTGGGAGTGCAAATCATTTATGTGGAGAACATGTGCATATGAATATAGTGAAAAAGAAACTGTTAAGGCTCCAGTAGATGGGAGGACAGACAGTTTTCTCCATTTTGCCTCACATCATCATCAGCAGTCACAGACTCCTCCCATCTGCTGGGCTGAGCAGCCTCACTCAGTGATGCGTCATCCCAAGGTGCTCCTTTCCCAGAGAGCAGACACATACACACACTTCTGCTGGTGCTCATCGAAGGACAGCAGCTGCCCAGTGTATTTTGGTTTGTGTTGGTGCTTCTTGCACCCAACATAAAAATGAAGTGACTTGACTGGCAAGAAGGACTCCTCATCTTCACTGAAAAGAATTCAGCATCCTACAGGCTCTGAGCAGTAGAAAATACCAAAGGACTGGGAACCTCCTGGCAGCAGTAGTTACTGGCTGGTCAGGATACCCAAGCCGTGCTGTCTCCTCACTGGGATAAAATGATGAGCCCTGTAATGCAACCACGGATCCCTACTCTTCTGCTTCAGGTCTGCTGGTTGGAGCAGCCGCTGCATCCACAGATCCCTACCCAAGGAAAAAGTGGGACTGGTGGTGAGTTGTATCTTTGTGCCCTCACTTTTCAACTCCTTACCCACAGCTTGGGTGTAGAGCCCAGTCTCAGCAGGAGGAGCTTTCTCTTGCTATTCTTTCCTGTATAGACAATATGGGTTTTCTTCACCCCAGCTAGAAGCCAGCTCTCCCGAGGAACTCCCCTCTACTCCTCGCAAAAGTTCTTCTTCTCCCACCTCCTAGATGGCAGATTTGTTCTCCAGAGGAAGAGAATGCTCTCACAGCATCCTATAGAGACATGCATCACAAATTCCCATTTCTCTGGAGTGCCCTTTTAATGAGCTTTGATTATACTCACCAACACAACTGCTCTGTGATTATAGAAGACACATAACTAAATTTTTAGCATTGACTCTGTCCCCTATTATATCAACTCCCAGTGTTAGATACCCAAAGTTCTTGTATAAGATTAGTGGTGAGATGGACTACTGTAACGATTAAGCAAATAATCCTGTTTCTATAAAGATTTTATTCATAGAAAGCTCAAGAAATGGGCACAAAATGTACTGACTATAGGAAAATAAGAAATTTGCTATCTATGTAAATGTGACTTTTATGCTATAAAGTGTGTCTGTGCATGACATGGAGGAAGATAATTTTTTTCCACCTGCCACGGATTACTAGTGCTTCCAGTCCAAACATGTAAACCAACCCTCTATGGATTATTTTTCCTTTAGAATTTGTCACGTTTCAGGGATTATAGCTACAGAAGATCAATAATTTGGTTGGCAATATACTGTCTACCCTGGGAGCATTCCAGTTTGTTTAACTTTATTTAACCTCATTTCCTTTAATTTAGGAGACAATCATTGGATTCTCAGCATTTTCACTGGCGGTTCTTGGACCAGCAGGATGGTTCTTGTGCCACCTTCCAAGATATAAAAATAAATAGAAAACATCCCTTCAAAATCAAGATCTGGAGGCTGCAACATGCTGTAATACTGCTAACTTGGACCCTCTTGAAAGTGAGAACACAGGGGCTTGAGGGCCAGTTTAAAACAGAATGATTGAAACATGAGTTCAGGTTTTGTGAATGTCATATTGCTTCTATATTAAAAAAAAAATGTCGAAATAGAGAATATGACTAACTAAAGTCCCAGTTCACACACTGTCGTCAGTTCCGTGGGACAGGTCCCAGTCAGAAAGCTTTTGCTGATATTTTAGAACTAGACCCAGATATAAAATGGTGTAATGATGCAAAATAGTGGTAGGTCTACTCTTCTATCTTCCACTGCAGCTGCACCAGTCTGCATGCACCAGTCTGAACGTGATGTCATCACGTACCATCAAACCTTAAACTAAACAAATGAGAGAAAATACAGAGGAATTCTTTTTACGGTGCTTTCGTTTACACTAATCTCAGACAACAACTCTGAGAATTTAAGATTATTTTCTTGAAAGTTTCTCTTTAACCTTTAGATGTGTTCTTCTGGGGTGTTTCCCCAACCAATCTACTCTTCCACCAGAATAAATGTTTTTCTGCAGGTCATGATTGTCACATACTTCAATTTATTTTCAATTTTTAGACTAAAATTTGTGACATTTGAGAGATTTTCCCACATTTTGTGTTTATAATGAACGCTAGGATACTTTGAAGTCTACACTATACCTGAAATAAGTACAATACATAATATTTGTAATGCCATGCTATATGTGTTATAAAGGAATGTCGTCTAATGATTTCACGTCTGTCTTGCAAAAAATGCAGAACATTAACCTTTTGTGATGCTTAAATATTCACAGAATATGATTTATAATTCCATTAAGTCATTTATAATGTTTAATATAAAAACAGATTCTGAAAGTAGGGCTATGAATGTGTAAAAGTGTACATTCTTGCTTCTACTTCTAAAGTATGATTTTCAAATAAATTGTGTGAGTTCCTGTCAGTCTATTAACCACAACTGAGGTTTTCTGAGTGAGAATGATTGTTTAAAGAACGTATTACTGTTTGGATTTTTTTTTTTTTTTAAATGATAGCTTTGTCACTGAATCAAGCAGCCTGATCTGAAGCCCAGTTATGTATATGGAAAGTTGAGTTTTGGGTAGGCATCTACATTCCTGGTATCCAGAGAAAAACCCATGCTAGTTACAGAAATATAGCTGGGCAAGTACTCTGTGATCTGCTCCTGCATACCATAAGCATATCCACTGAAATCAGTAAGGCTATTTTGCAGGATCTTTCCTTAAAAAACTGTTCTGAACATTTCAATATGCCTGCTTGTCCTGCCTAGTAATTCCAGTGTCCTCACCTAGTAATAAATAAGTAAATAAATCAGTAAGATACAATGTTTCAGTCATTGTACTTGTCCTTTTAAATTATGGTAATGAATAATAAGACTTGGTTATGATGCATACTTGGACTATATGAGTGAAGTACTGAGAATTGCACTAGATGAAATGCAGTGAAAAAGTAATCCAGTGTTTAGTATCTGGCAGTGTAAATATATAGGGATGTATATATTGAAGCAGGGATAATTTTTGGAAACTACTTACCTAAAGGACTATTTAAAATGTAAGGTTTTTTTTTTTCCCCCCAAATTTGCAGTCCACTTCAAGCATTTCTTCCTAAAAGTAATGTGTTTTTTTACATTTTACATTTTTTTTACATTTTTTTACATTTTACAGATATTTTAAAATACTGCTGTTTTCATGTAGTCCTCTTTACTGATGGATTTCAAATGGATCCTTAACCCTGAGACTGGAAGTTCTGGGGAATGTGGTGCATAGAAAACCGAGATGAAAAGGAGAGAATCCAGGTCACTGTGGGCAACTTTACTGCTGCTAGCACGGTATGAGTGAGCTAATAACCTTTACCAAGTGTAAGAGGTTTTGTTTTCTGGCCTAAATCAGCCAGATTTCAGCAGGCCTGGGCTGATGAATGCATGTGGTGGTGCCCAGGTCAAAATGGTCAGTGAGTTTTACGTTTCAGTGGCCATGACCTTACCTGCAGCCTGCTAAGTACCACCATGCTGGGGCTCCCTGCTAGTTCAGGGTGCTGTGCTTTCTGTGCGAACATCAATGGAATGCTTTGTAAAGAAAGGCAAGAGCCACTCTCCTGTAATTCTATAGATGGGGAGTACCAAACATAAAGCGCTTGCCCAAGATCAGGCAGCAAGTTAGGAGGAGGTGGAACCAGACTGTTGGAGGAAGGTTCCCTGCTGTGCTTCTCATCATATATCTATATCAATGGTTTGCATTTTTGAAGATATGCCACAGCTGGCTTTGTTTGCTACAGGTAGTAGCACAGGTAGCACATATATGCCTAAGGGTAAGTGGCTGAAGCCTGTCCTTCCACAAGAACATAACTAATAGCCATTCCAGCTAAGACAAAAGATCTTGTATTGAATTAAACTTTGGAATATTTACAGAGTTTGTGAATATAGTTACATGCTGCAGTACATACTTATGCTAAAATACTCATTATAGCTCTGAGTAAATAGAAGGAGAAGTAGCCATGGTGCCTTTCAGCCACTATATTGCCTTTTAGAATGGATGTTCTGGATGAGATCACACAATTTATGAGACCCAGTGGTATTCAGCTTATGGTCCATGCACACACTGGATCTGAAAAATGTAGCTGGGAAATACTAACCAATTGTCAGTAGGCTTAAATTTACTTGACAATTTGTAAGGGTCTGCAAATGAAAAAAATATCCACATTCCTATGTAAAGTGCAGCAGCTTTCCTACAGGCTGCTCTAAGAATGCCCCAGTTCTGTCAATTTAATTCACTCTGTGTTTCACACCAAGGCTCTAGTTTCTGACAGTCTATCCTTCAGTTCATCTTATGTAGCTCCTGGACTCCTATGTGAAGCAAACCAATTTGGAGGAGCTCAGTGGCTGCTTGGAAGGCAGCCTTTCAAGCACATGAGCAACATCTGTCAACTTCAGTTGTTACTGAGCCAGGGCCTGCACCCTGGCAAGGGTCACAAACATGGTACACAGCAAGTAAAACACTGAGGACCTTAGCAGTGTTGAATGTTGCATGCTATCTCCTCACTTCTTTCATGGAAAATCTCATGCCTTCTTTTGCTCTGTCACTGGCTTTGCCCAGCAGAGGCCTTCCCCAAATATTTTTACTTCAGTGTAGAAATACTAAAGCAAAATAAAAATTATGTTCTGGGTTTCTTGTCTTCCATGTTCATGTCTTATTCTTTGGGCCATGATACTGTGATAGGTTTAAGAAGGCAGTTTTTTAACACTTGTCACTCTTAATTCCTAAAGCATTATTAATACTGCAATATGCTTTTCCTTTAGGCATGTAGGTGGGTGTTATAGTCAATTCTGCACAAGTCTGAGATTAAAGGTATGAAAAAAACCCACAACAACTTATTGTCGGGAGATCTAATTCAGCTAGGGTGATGCTAATTTTCACAAACATGGCATGGTAGCTGTCACAAATACTGTGCTGCTTAGAGCTAGTAAAGCCAGTCTCTGATCTTATAATAGTCCTAGTACACACTCATCAGGTTTGTGCTAGTTCTCGATGCAGGTCAGCATTTATTTCTCAAAACTCCACTGCTATGGCAACAAATTAGGTATTTTGTTCACTTAGAGGCTAATGAAATTGCTCTAGAAGAGAAATTGAGGGCATTTATCAGAGATTTTTTTTACAGTGACAGATACTGACAAATGTAATAATAAAGGTAACATCCACAGAATTAGTTGAAGTAATTGTCAGAGTAAGAAGAAAATTACAGATTTGTAAATACAACCAAATAACTACTGTATTTCCTAATGATGTTTTTCTGTTCTTATTTTTTCCTGAAGTTTCAGTTATTCTAAACTGGGGAGAGAAAAGGACAATTATTAACATCACAAGCTGGCTCCTCTGTTGGTATTAGCAATGAGACCCAGAGCTCTTTACTGCTCAGTCTCTCACTTTAAATCAACTGAAGCCAGTGATGAAATGCATTTGTCACCTGCCAGATGGCATAACTGACACGGGCTCGTGGCTCTCTCCAGCCAAGGTTCTGATCACATTGTGATCACTTCTATTACGACTGCCACCTCCTCCCCTCCCCTCCCCTCCCCCC